AGCCTCAAGTAAGTGCTGAAAGCCAGAAACAAGTGCTTACTAGCAAAGCAGCCATCTCTGTGCGAGCTGCAGTGTTAACCGTGCACCAGGAGCAGGTGCCTTGTCTGACATTACAGCGACTGTTACAGGGTACCTAGCATGACTATAAGGCTCAGTTCACACTAGCTTTGTCAGCAGGTGTCAGACAGCCATTTGGAAAGCGTTTTTAACGCTTCTCAAATGCCTATGAGAATTCTGCATATGGCAGCACACAGTGCTGTTCACACTGTAGCGTTGCGTCACAGCAAAACTAAAGTCTTGTATCGAGTCAGGAGAAGTTGAAGCCTCACATTCAAGTCTATGGTGCTGCTCCGTAAATGTCTAGCAGGCGTTAGCGATGCAGTTGCGGAGCGTTAATACCATTTAACTTCATTATAGGCATTTGTGGTACGGTTTTAGCGCTTGGCAAACGCCTATCAACCGTCTCAAAACCGCGCATGGGGCGTTTGGGAGCGTTTGAGGAGCGTTAAAAAACGCTTCCCAAATGCCTGTCTAACGCCTGTCAAACACTATAGGGGCGTTTGGCAAGAGTTAGAAATAAAGTCAAAATATCTACAGGTGTTCTGACAGTAAAAAAGCAACAGCAACAAATAATTATATATACATATAAGATATTGACTACATTTTGCAGATATAACAAAAAGTGACAATGTCTATCAATTGAAAGTATGTTAGTATAACTGTTACAGATAATCCTACTCTAATAATACAAATAATAATAATAATAATAATACCAATCTCATAAAAAGTGAGTGACCCTGATAGTTTCTTATTTTATACCATTTTAAATGGTTCATGTGCCATTGTGCCTGTCAGTAAATATTTTTTGCTAGAAACATACAATACATACATACTGTATATTACATACGGTATATGTTGCTTTCCTTGAAAATCAGGCTGGATTCACACCTTTGCACTTTTTCCTGATGTATTTTCTATTGAAACACATAAAACACACAAATGTGCATTAGGTCCTGTTCACACCTTTGCATTTCAATGTGTAGTAAAGCAAAACCACTTGTCAATCGAAGTAATGTTTTTCAATGAGGTTGCTCGGAAGTCTGTGGTGCAGTTTAAGCAATGAGGTGTGTCTGTTTTCGATGTATTTTTACAAGTTCTGATGTCCAATAAAATTATGGAGATATGTAAACACTCAACAACTCACATAAAAAATGTGCAAAAATTGATAAAAGCAGAAACAGATAGATGTGAATCTGGCCTAATGTGCAATGACAAGCCATGACAAGCACATTGCAACACATTTTAAAGCACACGCTGATGCGCACTGACGTGCAGTTTGATGCGTTTCCATTTATTTTAATGAAAAACTTATCAGGCAAGAACACAGAGTTGTGAATCCAGTCTAAATGTAATGAATTGGTCCATAGCACATAACTGATCTCTGTTACATCTTCTACTATATGTACTGTATCTAACATAACCAGATCATTCATAGCACTTAGCAAGCAGATTTGATGTACTTTACAGCAAATCTGTGCTTTAATTCTGGGCCACTTCAGTCTAATGGTGGCTGTAAATGGAACAAATTTATAAACAATTGTTTCTTCAACAGATTTACAATATGACCGGAAATATGATTGGAGGATTGCACAGATTGTTGGATGTGCCATACACTTAACCAGCACGGCAAATGAATTACTTTCCAGAGTTCTGAATTTCCATTCAGACCAATCAGAATAATTTTGATTAAATTGATCGGTTTTGCTTGACACTGATTGATAACACATTGTGTGCCTTTTCAGTAGCTGATAGATCCAATCATATTATCCAGTCCTGTGAAGAAGTGTTCCATCAGATCGTTACATGTATGGCCAACATAAAAAGAATGTACAAAAAAAACCTGCTTTGGAAATAAGAATATGAAAATTATTTATTAAAACTTCAAGGCACAGGCAATTGTAAAGGTGGCCATATGTGATGCTATAAAACGATTGATCTAAACCGAGCCACTGCATGAATTGAGCTGAAAATTGATTGCATTACATAATTCAACTGATGTTCAATACATGTGTACCCTGAGTTTCAATCAATTACATATATAAACCGATTGTATCAAGCTGATCAGATGGAAACACAGATTTCCTGAGGGATTGGAAATGATGAACCGTGGGAATTTCTGTGAATGTGAAAAAATGGGAAAAATTGCTATTGCTTGATCCTATAAAACGTTCATCCCACTACAACCCAACGGCTTGGGTTGTCACTAGCTGTCGCTCACCACATGGCCATGCCATTTTTGTCTTGCCAAATTTGTTCATTTTGCTGAATCAGACATGGAACGGTGAGTTTTATTGCACCATGTATGGCCACCATTATTGCCTGGAATAAGCATGTCACATATTATCCACATCACACATCCCCAGACTACTGCAGGCCTCTCTGTACACATCTATAAACATGACAGCAAGGCAAGCTAAGCAATGTGGACTGTGGACTGTGGACTGTGAATGTGGTGGGGGGACAGATGTACCATCATCTTCATCATCCTCATCATTATCATTCTCATCATCATCCTCCCAATCATTGTCATCCTCATCATTATCCTCCTCACCATCATCATTCTTCTCATAATCATCCTCCTCCTCATCCTCCTGATCATCATCCTCATCATTATCCTCCTCACCATCATCATTCTCCACAAAATCATTCTCCTCCTCACCGTCATCATTCTCTTCATCATCATCCTCATCATTAGCCTCCTCACCATCATCATCATCATTCTCTTCATCATCATCATTCTCCCGATCATCTTCATCCTCATCATTATCCTCCTCACCATCATCATTCTCTTCATTATCATCCTCCCAATCATCTTCATCCTCATCATTATCCTCCTCACCATTATCATTCTCCTCCTCCTCATCCTCCCAGTCATTATCATCCTCATCATTATCCTCCTCACCATCATCATTCTTCCCATAATCCTCCTCCTCCTCCTCCTCCTCCTGATCATCATCATCCTCCTCACCATCATCATTCTCCACAAAATCATTCTCATCCTCACCATCATCATTCTCTTCATCATCCTCCCGATCATCTTCATCCTCATAATCATCCTCCTCCTCACCATCATCATCCTTACCATCATCATCCTCACCATCATCATTCTCTTCATCATCATCCTCATCATTCTCTCTTCATCATCATCATCATCCTCCCGATCATCTTCATCCTCATCATTATCCTCCTCATCATCATCATTCTCCAAATCATCATCCTCCCGATCATTATCATCCTCATCATTATCCTCATCATTATCCTCACTCATCATCATTCTCCTTATAATCATCCTCATCCTCCTGATCATCATCCTCCTGATCATTATCCTCCTCACCATCATCATTCTCCACATAATCATCTTCCTCCTCACCATCATCATTCTCTTCATTATCATCCTCCCAATCATCTTCATCCTCATCATTATCCTCCTCACCATCATCATTCTCCTCATAATCATTCTCTTCCTCACCTTCATCATTCTCTTCATCATTATCCTCCTCACCATCATCATTCTCCTAATTCTCCTCCTCACCATCATCATTCTCCTCATAATCCTCCTCCTGATCATCCTCCCGATCATCATCATCCTCATCATTATCCTCTTCACCATCATCATTCTCCTTACCATCATCATTCTCCTCATAATCTTGCTCCTCATCATCCTCTCGATCATCATCATCTCGACCATCATCATACTCATCATTATCCTCCTCACCATCATCATTCTCCTCATAATCATCATCCTCCTCATCATCATCCTCCCGATCATCTTCATCCTCATTGTTATCCTCCTCACCATCATCATTCTCCTCATAATCATCCCTCATCATTCTCATCATCATCCTCCCAATCAACATCATCCTCATCATTATCCTCCTCACATCATCATTCTCCTCATAATCATCCTCCTGATCATCATCATCCTCCTCACCATCATATCATCCTCCTCCTCACCATCATCCCCCTCATTGTCCCCCTCCTGATCATCCTCCTCCTCCTCTGCTCATCAGGCCAGTGGTGATGGTTGGGTTAACCCTCTGCTCCCCCCATGTGATGATCCCTGACACCAGGTATACAGAATAGTGACACCCTCCATCCTCACTCCATGGACGGATAGGAGAGGATGGACCATGCATCCCTGCACCTAGGGCTCCTGTGATCAGATGCATTATCGATGGCTTTGCCGGCACACACGGGGTTAATGCGGGGGCTGTGCACCGACCATCAGGGTGTAAACAAGGTGTCAGATCCCGGGAACTCCCCCTCCATCCATCTCCCCATCCTCATCCCGCCGCCTGTCACCCATCCCTGCCATGGCAGCATCCTGATCGTCTACAGGAGAGCCACAACCCCACATCGCATTGTGGCCGCACTGCCCCATCCTCCAGAGCAGGTGTCCCCGCTGCACGATCCTACCTGCGGGGCCATGGACGGCGGTCCGCGGAGATCGCTCTGCCCCAGGCTGGATCTGCTGCCTCCTTCAATCTGCAGTGCGGGCAGAGCGCATGCGGAGCGCACAGGCTGTGCTGACATGGGGCTGTGTGTGTGCCATCCACTCCTGGGGGGAGGGGGAGCAGGAGGAGGAGGAGGGGGACAGCTAGCCTGGGCTTAACTCTGCCCTCACCATGGCACTCCACACACTGGGGGGGCACCGACCTCCTACACCTACCTACTAATGCAAATACAGGAGCTGCCATTACACACCTTGTCCTGAAAATGCTGTAACTTGCACCTCTGGAAATGTATAGGCTGTCATTACACACCCTGATCTGAAAATGCTGCATGCTTGGCAGAAGCTTGTACTAATGGAAATATAAATGCTGCTTTTACAGACCTTCTTATGAAAATGCTAGTCTCCTCACTGTAACTTGTGCTAATGGAAATAAATGAATAGGCTGCCATTACATATCTGGTTTTGAAAATGCTGCTGTCTGGCTGTAACTTGCACTAATGGGTATTGCCAAATGTATTGGGCCAGCCCTCCAAATCATTGGATTCAGGTATTCCAATCACCTCTGTGGCCACAGGTGTATAAAATCAAGCCCTAGGCATGCAGACTGCTTCTACAAACATTTGTGAAAGAATGGGTCACTCTCAGGAGCTCAGTGAATTCAAGTGTGATACCATGATAGGTTGCCACCTGTGCAGTAAGTCCATCCGTGAAATTTCCTTGCTACTAAATATTCCACAGTCAACTGTTAGTGGTATTATAACAAAGTGGAAGCAACTGGGAACACCAGCAACTCAGCCACCAAGTGAAAGTACAAAGTGCGCAGAAATCGCCAACAGTCTGCAGAGTCAATAGCTAAAGACCTCCAAATTTCATGTAGTCTTCAGATTAGCACAGCAACAATACGTAGAGAGCTTCATGGAATGGGGTTCCATAGCTGAGCAGCTACATCCAAGCCTTACATCACCAAGTGCAATGCAAAGCGTCAGATGCAGTGGTTAAAGCACGTCACCACTGGACTCTAGAGCAGATGAGATGTGTTAGAGTCTTTTTTAATAGTGCCATCACATGGTGATGCGGCATGATGCAGTTTCACACACCCAAAAACACACTGCACTTGCCGATGTGTAGGGGTGCCATTGAGAATGAATAGTACCCCTGCAAATCTGCTAAAGAGCAGCGCATTTTGCCTGTCAGGTCAGGAAAGGGCATGATTTTGCAAGCGTTCCTAACCAGCACAAGTGTGATCCTAGGCTTAGGAGTTCCATCTCTCCTGCATCAGGTTGTAAAACATTTTCTTTCAACTTGCCACACTTATGTCTGTTTTTTTGTTATGCTTGTCAAAATGATAGTCAGTATTGTAACTATTTTTTAACAAATACTCTAAACAATAGAAAAAAAATAGAATACATAGAACAACTCCATATAAAGGGGGTAATTTATTAAAACTTGAGAGTGCAAGATCTTGTGCTGCTGTGCATGGTAGCCAATCAGCTTCTAACTTCAGCTTGTTCAATGAAGCTTTGACAATAACACCTGGAAGCTGATTGGTTTCTATGCAGAGCTGCACCAGATTTTATACTCTCCAGTTTTAGTAAATCAACCCCACAGAAACCTTTTGCATAATTAATCCATAGCAAGGCAAAAACAAACCCAGTAAAGCTTGATTTGATTTGCATCAGCAGAGGAAAGAGGTCTCTCCTGATCCTCCAGGAGGCAATGGAATATTCCCATCAACTACCCCTGGTATTATCATCTCTAAATATTAGTATCCAGTTATATTTGTGCATTTAACTATTCATCAAGCTCTTCTTTAAAAAAAATCGACTGAGCTGGCCAGAACTAGTCATTTTCACAGCTCTTACTGTAAAGAAGCCTTTCCGTATGTGAAAGTTAAATAAAGCCAGTTCACATACATGTGGTTTGGATGCAGTTTTTAAGTGCATACAATGTGCATGACATGTGAAGTAACATTGCTTCCAATTTTGCCTGTTCACATATGTCCAGTGCACTGGCAGTGCAGATTCAGTGCGGATTGAAAAAGAGTCCTGTTTGATTTCTGAGCAGTGCGGTCCGGTTCAGGTGCAGATTACACGCTCATTGACTTCTATGTGAACCACTTCTGATGCCAAGTCATGAGTTTGTGAACACGATTTCAGGACGGTTTTCTCTCCTGATTCTGATGTAAAACTGACCTGATCCTGATCTAAACCTGACCCGAACCACTGCACAACTACTTTGTCAATTAGCTATGAAAAGGGAGCTTCAATTTGCTCCACACGTGTGAATCCACACTAAAGAGTGCTCCCTTAACCTCTATAACAGTGGTTCTTAACCTTTTTGGAGGTACTGAACCCCACCAGTTTCATATGCGCATTCATCGAACCCTTCTTAATTGGAAAAATAAAATATGATTTTTAAAATTCAAAACATAGGTATATATTTAGGTATATATTTATACATAGGTGCACAAAATGAACAAAACCATTAAGAACAAAGAACAAAACCATTAAAACATGATTTTCACACAAAAACAAAAACATAATAATGAATATTTACTGCACGAATCATATGAGTCGGGTGCAGGTCTTCACCTCCGCCGAACCCGCGAGACTGACTCACCGAACCCCTGGGGTTCGATCGAACCCAGGTTAAGAACCACTGCTCTATAATGATTGGAAGGTGAATAACTCTACACCAAGTTCACTATATGAACTACTTATGTATTCAGGGCTGGATTTCACAGTAGGCGCCCTTCCTAGAGCAACGACCGTTTGTATGCGGAGAGAGAGAGACTGTAAATAAGATACACAGTAAAGTGTGTGTACCTTGCCCCAAAGCAATGCCCTGGTTGTTGCCCATGATAAATTAGGCCCCTTTCACTCTAGCACTCCACAGTGCAAGGGGACCTCTGTGCACCCTGACGTAAAGAGGAACTCAGATGTAAGAGGGAACGCTGCAGACCCTGATGTAATAAAGGGGAACGCTGCTGACTGTGATGTAAGCGGGAGGGCTTTGGTGAATAGAGACCACCTTACATCAGAGTTCCCCTTTACATTACAGTCCGAGTGTCCCCCTTATACCAGAGTTCCCCTTTACATCAGGGTCCACAGTGGCCCCCCTTGCATTGTAAGGGGGAACCCTGCAGATTCTGATGTAAAGGAGAACTCTGATGTAAGGGGAACTCTGGGGACTTGTGTAAAGGGGGTTCCGGTGACCAGAGACTCCCTTACATTAGAGTTCCTCTTTACATCACAGTCTGCAGTGTTCCCCTTTACATCAAAGTCTGCAGCATCCCCCTTTACACATCATATAAAAATATTTATATAAAAATATTTTATCAAGAAAAAAAGAGTCAGTCTTACTGCCTTTTTTTTTGGGGGGGGGGGGGGCTTCAGAATTCTCTGCCTAGAGGCTCTTGATATATATGTACTCGGTTTAAGAACGCCTCGGTTAAAGTAATTTTCGGTTTACAAATGAAAATCCACTGAAAATAATGCCTCGGTTTACAAATTTTGTATGGATTTTTTTCGCAATACGAATTGTATGTCAGTGCTGATTTTTAAATGCAATTGCTGGCTTTTTTTTTTTTCCTTCACTATAGCTCACAGAATTAGCTGTCACTTTCCCCAAAGTTAACGGAAATGTTGTTCCTTTTAAGAAACTAAAAAGGAACTTGTTTGCCCCCCCCCCTTTCCTGACCTGCCAGGCTGCATGCTCTGAAAAGGGTCTGGTAGGGATTTTGGGGAGGACCCCCACGCCATTTTGTTTTAAATTTTGGCGTGGGAGTTCCCCTCAAAATCCATACCAGACACGAAGGGCTTGGTATAGATGGGAAGGGGGACCCCACGCAGTTTTTTAAATTATTTTTTTAATTGCCGGCAATTCTTTTCATTCAGCTGTCAGTGGGGAACCCCGCTGACAGTGAAATATTAACACATGGTTGTCACTACTAAAATGCCGCATGACTTGATAAAATAACTCATGCGGTATTTATTAGTGTTTACTTTTTTCTGATCTCCAGAACAGATTAATTGGTTTTCAATGCATTCCTATGGGAAACGGCGTTTCGGTTTAAGAATTTTTTGCTATAAGAAAAGTCCTTCAGAACGAATTAAATTCTTAAACCGAGGTATTACTGTATGTTTATCATACCCCCCCTTAATCTCCTCTTCTCAAGAGAGAATAAATTCAGTTCAGCTAATCTTTTCTCATAGCTGATCTCCTCCATGCCTCTTATCAGTTTGGTTGCCCTTCTCTGCACTTTCTCCGGTTACCCAATATCCTTTTTTGTGAACTAGTGACCAAAACTGAACTGCATATTCTAGATGAGGTGTTACTAATGATTTGTACAGGGGTAAAATTATGTTTTTGTGTGCCCTAAAAGACACCCCCTGAAAAAGCATGGACTATAAAACATTCTACAACCACCTTGACAATGACCTCTATTGAACCACACAATGAAATCCTTATTCTACCTTCACTGTATCAAATTAATTTCTAAAGACATTGCTTATCAATTATTACACAGATTATAGACAAAGCTCAGTCTGTCCAATGGGTTAAACAACACATCTTTAATAAACCAATTGTATGAAGTCTAAGCACATACTGTACATAAATACACTAATACGGAAACTCTTTTACCTACAGAATAGATTTGTATTTCTGTGTGCGCAGTCCTGAAATGTACACTGTTCTGATCACACAGCCAACCTGTGACCTTACTTATCTGTATTATGCATGTTACCCTAAATATTTTTTTCTATGTGTGTGTTCACATATGCGTATTTTTTTTTAAATCACGGTCTCTGGAGTTTCCATGTACAGGTGATTAAGTGGATTAGGAACACTGGCAGGTAGACATGTGTGTTTTGTTACAAATCGATTATCAGACAAAATTTGATTTTCAGAGATTCAGATGTATACAAATTTCCGAAAGGACATAGTAACAAATGTCAACGAATCTGAAAAAAGTTCTAACAAAATTAACAAATGCATATGTTTCATTCAGATGACATCACATGATGCAATAGGTGGGCACCAGTGAATAAGTGGAGAAGGAACACTGGCAGGTAGACGTGTGTTTTGTTACAAATCGATTTTTGGACACAATTTTATTTTTGGAGATTCAGATGTATACGAATTTCTGAATGGACATAGTAACAAATGTCAACGAATGAAAAAAGTTCTAACAAAATTATCAAATGCATTTTTTTTTATTCAGATGACATCACATCATGCAATAGTAATTCGGGCCCAATGGGAAATTAATTCTGTTTTTGAATTTGTTCAATATTTCGGATTCAAGTAAATTTGTGATTTTAATTGAATTTGTAATTGTCACAGTCAGTTCATTTTCGCAGTCTAATGCAATTCTTAGGTTCAAAAAATTCAGGGCCTCTGAATTTTGCATTATATTTATTCTGTTGCATCTGTAAATATTAAATAGTTTTGATATATGAATAAAAAAAACACCCAAAATGTCGAAACTAAAAACTTTTTTATAGCAATCTTCTGAAAAAACGGCAAATGTTTTCGAATGCACCCAGACCAACAAATATACAAACTGAATGCCGAAGATATGAAACAAATTCTGAAAATGAATCATTCCAATGTAATGAATATAACGAAACAAAATTCTTCCGTGAGCGAATGCATGCGAAACGAAACAAAAATTTCTGGTGTGCACGTCTACTGGCAGGAAAGACACCAGTAGTAACTGAGAAGACAGCAAGAGGGTGCCAATTGAAGTACAATGGGTTAGGGACATAAATTCACACAAAGCAATTGCCAGCTCTTGGATAGGGTAAAGATCGCTTCTATGTAGTTCTTTGAAGGTTTTGTCTTGGGTTAGCCTGCTGCTGTAGTTTCTGGATCCAAGGAGTTA